TGCATGGAGGGGATTGTAACCATGGCAATGAAACGATATACGATAGAATGAATGTAAAACTAACGTTCTCCCATGTAAACTATCACATAATTCACAATAAAACATTTATTTTGAAAAAATCTTTGTTAAAATACAATATTGTCAGTGATAGGATAATATCCATATACCTACAAGGAAGACCAGTTGATACCACTGTTCACTGGAAGCAAAGAGAACGTGAAATACTTACTGGTGAAGATCACCGGTATGGATTGCACCTCAATGTAAAGAAAGAAAAAGTCCTCACAACTGGACCAATAAATATCATGATAAATAGAGAAAAGATTGAAGTTGTCAAATAATTCATTTTACTTAGATCCACAATCAATACTCATGGAAGTAGCTGTCAGGAAATCAAGCAACATATTGCATTAGCCCAAATTTGCTGCACAAGACCTCTTTAAAGTGTTCAAGAGCAAAGGTATCAGTTTGAGGACTAAGGTGCACCAGATCCAAGCCATGATATTTTCAATAGCTTCAAATGCGTGTGAAAGTTGGTTTCCAAAGTGAATTAGGAAGACTGTAGAAGAACTGATGAGTTTGAATTAAGCTATTGTTGAAGAATTTTAAAAGTACCATGGACCTCCAAAAGAACAAATAAATCTGGGTTGGAAGAAGTACAGAGTACTCCTTGTTAAGTGTCATCGAGTTGGTTCTGACTCAAAAAACCTATATAGGGTTTTCAAGGAGTGGCGGGTGAGTTTGAACTGCCAACCTTGTGTTTCAGACTAACCTTGTGGTACAGTGCTTTATCCCACAATGCTACAGCAGGACTCCTTAGAAGCCAGAATGGCAAGACTTCATCTCTCACACTTTGGACTTGTTATCAGAAAGGACAAATCCCTGAGAAGGGCATCATGTTTAGAAAAGCGGAGGGTCAGTGAAAGAGGAAGACCCTCCATGAGATGGATTGGCACAGTGGCAGCAGCAATGGGCTCAAGCAGAACAACAATTGTAAGGATGGTGTTGGTTTGGGCAGTGTTTCATTCTGTTGTGCAGAGGGTCTCTATGAGTCAAATCCAACTCAACAACACCTAACAACAACAACAGTGCTCTTTAAAAATCAGTACGTCCTTTCTGTTCTCCCCACCCCCTATTCTCTTGCTTTCTGAATGACACATCTCTTTCCTTACCCTCCAGCAGAACCTTTTTAAAACAGAAAATTTACAGTACATTGAAGACATTGTATGCACTGAAGATGGCAGTGCTGTTCAAATGATAGAACCTGAGCTCTCTGAGGGTGGGGCCCCTGTGTTTCACACAGCACCCAGAACAATACCTAGAACATTAAATCAGACATACTTGTTGAGCACTTTTTTTTTAATGTTTTATTGTGAATTATGTGATAGTTTACATGGGAAAACATTAGTTTTACATTCATTGTATCATATATCGTTTCATTGCCATGGTTACAATCCCCTCCATGCATCATCAACCAACCAAAGGGTATACCCTACAAGCCTGCCCCCTGGCCATCAGCACACAGCCCCTCTCCCTCTCTGGATCTAAAGTCCCCAGCTGCTCCATCTCTCCACGTCATCATTTCTGCCTCCATCTCAGGCATCACTGCTTCTCTGGGTAGGGTCCTGCTCTCCGCTCTTCTCCCTTCATGGTCCCAGGGTGTTGAACAGTTTTTGCTGCTGCACATGTAAAGCAAATATTCATCCCAGATATCTAATGGACTTGGCCACTGAACTTAAACAAGTAAACTATTTTTGTTTCTTGTTATCCACGCCGCCTATGTTCACACCCTATTGTCCAACACAACTGCCAGCCATGTTGTTTATGCTCAATCAATACATGTTTACTGTTGTTAGTTGCCATTGAATTGGCTACAATGCATAGAGGCCCCACATACAACAGACTAAAATGTTGCCTGCAACAGCTTCACATTCATTGCATTTTTGAGGCCATTGTTGTGGTTATTGTATAATGCCTCCCAAACTAGGGTACTCACCTCTTAGCACTATGTCAGACAATCCGTAGGGTTTCATTGGCTCATGTTTGGAAGTAGAACATGAGGCCTTTCTTCCTGAAACCTGCCTATGCTGGGTGATCCTGCTGATACTTGAAATACTGGTGACATACCTTTTAGCATCACAGCAACATGCAAGTACCACAGTACAACAAACTAACAAAATTTTTATTGAACTGGTGAAGTTTGACTGTTTGCGGAGATGATGTGAAATACTCTGTGTTTGCACAATGAGTTGTACTGTGTATGGAGTAGAATGGATGAACTGAGCTGGGTTAGTATCCTGGACGATTGTTGTTGATAAGTGCTATCAAGTCGGTTCTGACGCATAACGGCCCGTATCAGGTTTCTGAGGAGTTACTGGTGGGTTTGAACCACCAACCTTGTAGGTAGCAGTCCTGTGCTTACCCTACAGCACCATACCAAGACTCCACCCCAAACAGGTTGTTGTTGCTGTTAGTGCCATCAAGTCAATTCCGATTCATAGTGACCCTGTTAGGGTTTCCAAGAAGCAGCTGGTGGTTTGAACCACTAATCTTGTGGCTAACAGACCAGTGCTTATCCCATAGCACCATACAGGTTACGGAGTTAAAGTCAGTGGAGTCATTAGGAAGTGATGAGCTTCCAATGGACTGAGCTGGACCCTTAGCTCTGGCGAAGCAAAAGGTGTCTTTTCCTGCTGTTTTCTCTAGCTTCCCTCACAAATCGTGAATGAATGAACTAATGAATAAACAAACATCAACCCACTGCTGTCTAGTTGATTCCAGCTCATAGCAACCCAATAGGACAGAGTAGAACTTCTTCACAGATTCTAAGACTATAAATCTTTACAGAAGCGGACTACCTCATTTTTCTTCTATGGGAGCAGCTGATGGGTTCAAATCACTGACCTTTTGGTTAGCAACCCCATGCTTAACCCACTGAACTACCAGGGTTCCTTTAAACAAACATAGGGTTATTTTAAAGATGAAGTAAGTTCATATTTTTCAAGTACCGAGAATAGTGCCTAAATTCAAACCAAACCCCTTGCCATTAACTCCATTCTGACTCCTGGTAATCCCATGTGTTACAAAGTAGAACTGTTCCATCGGATTTTCTTGGCTTCATGGAACCAGGTAATTAGGTCTTTCTTCTGAAGCCCTACTACGTGGGTTCAAACCACCAACCTTTAGTACATGAGCATAGACCAGTGCAACCCAGGAACCATAGAAGAGTGCCTGGTCTGTCGAAAATGTGATTGAAGTGTTGGCAGGAAGTTAGAACAGCTTTTTCTATACCAGGCAATGTCTGCCAGCAGCCACTTTCATGGAGCCTGAGGAACAAAGGGACTTGAGGGAGCAGACATACCCTAGAGGAAGCCCCCAAAGTCCTCAGCACTCATATGCCATGCCTAGAGCTTTGATGTGTATGTTTTCCTTCTTTTCCATAGGATCATGGGAGACCACCTTGAAGTTTTCTTAGGAGTGGTACTTATGGCCAGTACTGTGTTTGGGATTTCTTCTTGCTCCTTTGATCGTGGGATAGCGTTGTATCGTTTCTGCAACCTCACCCAAGTTCCCCAGGTTCCCCAAACCACTAAGAACCTCCTGCTGAGCTTCAACTTTATCAGTAATGTTACTTCGATGTCATTCCCCTTCTTGGAGCAGCTGCAGCTGTTAGAACTTGGGACTCAGTTTACATCCTTGACTATCGACAAAGAGGCCTTCAGAAACTTGCCCAATCTTCGCATCTTAGATCTGGGCAAAAGTGAGATCAATTTCTTGCATCCAAATGCTTTTCAGGGACTGCCCCATCTTTTTGAACTTAGGTTGTTTGGCTGTGGTCTCTCAGAAGTTATCTTAAGAGATGGTTATTTCAGAAATCTGGAATCCTTAATGCACCTGGACCTATCCAAAAATCAGATTCATACTCTTCACCTTCATCCTTCATTCCAGGAGTTGAATTCCTTGAAGTCCATAGACCTTTCCTTCAACCAGGTAACCACTGTATGTGAGAGTGAGCTCAAGCCCCTCCAAGGTAAGACACTCTCCTTCTTTAGCCTTGCAACTAATAGCCTGTACATCCCCGTCTCAGTGGACTGGAGCAAGTGTGGGAACCCATTCAAAAACATGTCTGTGGAAACCCTAGATGTTTCTGACAATGGCTGGTCAGTGGACAGGATAAGAAACTTTAGCAATGCTATCAGTGGAAGTGAGACTTTCTCTTTGGTTCTTGCCCATCACGTTATGGGGTCTGGATTTGGCTTCCATAATATCAAAGACCCTGACCAGAACACATTTGCTGGCCTGGCCAGGAGCTCAGTGATAAAGTTGGACCTTTCACATGGGTATATTTTCTCCTTGAACGTCCGGCTCTTTGAGACCCTCAAGGAGTTGAAACTTCTGACCCTTGCCCACAACAAGATTAACACGATTGTAGAAGGAGCCTTTTATGGACTTGACAGACTCCAAGTTCTCAATTTGTCTTATAACCTACTGGGGGAACTTTATAATTTCAATTTCAATGGACTACCCCAAGTAGCTTATGTTGATCTGCAAAAGAACCACATTGGCATAATTCAGGGCCAAACATTCAGATTCCTGAAAAATTTAAAGACCTTGGATCTCCGTGATAATGCTCTTACGACAATTAATTTTATTCCAAGCATACCTACTATCTTCTTGGGTGGCAATAAACTAGTCACTTTGCCAAACATCAACCTCGTGACCAACTTCATCCAGTTATCAGAGAACAGACTGGAAAACATGGCTAATCTCTACTTCCTTCTCCAAGTGCCTCATCTTCAGATTCTCATTTTAAACCAAAATCGTTTTGCTTCTTGTACCCAAAGTTTTGTCCCTACAGAAAACCTCAGCTTAGAACAACTTTTCCTTGGAGAAAACATGTTACAACTTGCCTGGGAAAACGAGGTCTGTTGGAATGTTTTTAAGAGGTTATCTTACCTCCGAGTACTGTATCTGGATAGTAACTACCTAAATTTCCTCCCACCAGGAGTATTCAGTGATCTGACTGCACTAAGGGAACTCTACCTCGGCTCCAACAGGCTGAAGGTTCTTTCTCCAGGTGATTTACCTGCTAATTTAGAGATCCTGGATGTATCCCGGAATCAGCTCCTGTCTCCTGATCCCAATTTATTTGCATCACTAAGTGTTGTGGACCTAAGGCATAACCAGTTCATATGTATGTGTGAACTTAACATTTTTATTAATTGGCTCAATCAAACGAATGTTACTGTGTTTGGGTCTCCTGCAGACATATACTGTGTGTTCCCTGAGCCTCTCTCCGGGATCCCCATATCCACCATTTCCATGGAGGGCTGCGATGAAGATGAAGCCTTACAGCCCCTAAAGTTTTCCCTCTTCCTCGTTTTCACTGTGTTGTTGATTCTCTTCCTCGTGACTGTCATCATTGTCACTAAGTTCCGGGGGTTTTGTTTCTTCTGTTATAAGAGAATCCAGAGACTGGTGTTCAAGGACCACCCCCAGAGCATGGACCCTGATACATACACATATGATGCCTATTTGTGCTTCAGTAGCAAAGACTTTGAATGGGTGCAGAACGCTTTTCTCAAGTGTCTGGACACTCAGTACAGTGACCAGAACAGATTCAGGCTATGCTTTGAAGAAAGAGACTTTGTCCCAGGGAATAACCACATCGTCAACATCCAGGACGCCATCTGGAGCAGCCGAAAGATTGTTTGCCTTGTGAGCAGACACTTCCTCCGAGATGGCTGGTGCCTTGAAGCCTTCAGTTACGCCCAAAGTCGGTGTATATCTGACCTCAACAGTGGCCTCATCATGGTGGTGGTTGGCTCCCTGTCCCAGTACCAGCTGATGAAGCACCAGTCTATCAGAGGGTTTGTACAGAAGCAGCAGTACTTGCGGTGGCCTGAGGATGTTCAGGATGTTGAGTGGTTTCTCCATAAACTCTCTCAACAAATACTCCAGAAACAAAAGGAAGAGAGGAGAAACAGTAGCATTCCGTTGCAAATGGTAGCAACCATCTCCTAGTCTAAGGGACAGTTTTCAACTTATTTCAAGCCACAAATCATTCATTTTGCATTTGCACTCTGTTGCTATTTTGATAACTTCATATGGTTTCCCAGAATAACAACATAAATCTCTTGATTTTCGTATCAATACAATGTTTTGTCTTACTCCCAAATGGAAAATAATCATGTAGAAAATACAATTGCCCTAAGGAAGACTGCTAAGGATTCAGACAATGGTTCCTACTCTCTGTTGATTTTCTTTCAGACCCAATGATACTGTCCTCTCCTGGTGCATCAGCTCTGGGATGTCTCCTCATTATGGGAAAGGCGCCTTGGGAGCAGTTACAAATGAATGGCATCTTTCTCCAGCATTCAGATTAAGGGTGGCTAGCCAATGAGTATAAGTTCTCTGCAGAACAGCACTAAATAGAGAGCAGACAGAAATAGAGACAGGTTTCCTCCTCTGGCCTTACAATCCTCTGTGTACAAGAAATGCCATCACTGGGTGCAGGACCAAGCTCAGCCTTAGGGATGAGAGGTAATCCCAGAGAACCTGGAATGAGAATGTTGCTGTTCAGCATCATAACAGCACACAAGTATCCACTGACAAAGAGGTGGTAACAGCGCATGAGGTACAATGGCCAGGAACTGGACTTGTGCTTCCCACATGGAAGGTAAGAATTCTACCACCGGTGTCTCCCACAAGATGAGAATAGCTAGCTCTGTTGTAGTTATACTGTACTCCCTGTTCCTACTGGTAGCTCCTAACGCCAGAGCTTGCTTTCCACATACCACACGTGATTTATCAGCCTCTCAGGCTTTTAGGAAAAGAGCATGGACTTTGGACACAGATTCTAGTTTGAGTTCTGATGCTGCTGCTTATTAGCTGGGTGGTGTCAGTCAAGTTATATGTCCTGGCTGTACTCCAGCTTTTCCTCTGGAGGAATAATGATGTCTACCTCAGAGAGTTGCTGTGAAAATTAAATTGGCCAATGATGTCAGAGCTTGTCAAATCTTTCCCTGAAAGTTCCCATAAAAGCCATGAAGGTACACACATATTTAGGGGCCTTTTGGAAGCATTTGCAATTTTTTTTTTTTTTAACTTTGTTGGCACTGTAGGATAAGCACTGGACTGCTAGCCACAAGGTCAGGGGTTCGAGCCCACCAGAGACAGATGAAGCTTTCTGCTCCTGCAAAGATTTATAGCCTCAGAAACCCTATAGAAGGTCACTATGGATTGAAACTGACTTGACGGCACTTAACAACATGATAGTGCTGTTGTTAAATGCTGTTGAGTCGGTTGCAACGCATACTGATTCTGTATAGTGTTTCTGAGCAGCCGCTGGTGGATTTGAACTGCCAACCTTGTGATTCGAAGTCCAGTGCTGATCCTACACCAGGACTCCAACAGAATAATCTTGGCACAGCATTCTTGGTTTAATTTTCTTAATGCTTTTATGGAAAAATACTTATATTTTTTAAAAAATGGAATATTATAATATAACTGGACCTACTGGGTCAGTTAAATTCAAGGAATTGTTTAAAATGGCATTTATAGTATATTCCATTTTTTTATATTTAAAAGAAATATTGACGTGTTTTTCCATAAAAGCATTAAGAAAATTTAAACCAAGAATGCTGTGCCAAAATCATCCTGTAACTCCACACCCTTTTCTCCAGTTTCCTTCATGTTCAACTCATGGCAACCCCAGTGTATCAGAGCAGATTTGTGTTCTACAGAGTTTTCAGTGGCTGATATTTTCAAAAGTAGATCTCCAGATCTTTCTTTCAAAATGCTTCTGAGTGGACTAGAACCTCCAGACTCTTGGTTACCATCTAAGACTTAACCGTTTGCACCACACAGGGATACCTGGCTACATATACAGCCGCCTCCCAATTCAACATGCCCCCAGGTAAACTCCTACCATTTGAGAAAGACACTTAGGCCTGGATTAAGTGCTCCAAATTATCAATCCCTTCTCTTCTAACTGCCTCCCAATCTTCTCACCTCCCCTGTGTGCACATATACCCTGCTGCGCCCCTTCCATCTGGAATGTTCTCCCATCTCTGCGTCATTCATTTTACATATTCTTCAAAATACAGCCCAAGAAGCCTCCTGGGATCCCTTCAATCCAAAATCCCCTCTCCCCTGTGTGAAAACTCATAACACTTTATCAGCTCCTTTTAAAACTAGCATTTACTATTCCCTGCCTTCCTGGAGAGTTCTGAAGACCATCTGGGCACCACCCGCCCTTTGGACTGACTCTAAGCTCTGTACCAATAGACCCTGCCTTCAGTTGTGTCTCCCACTTCCTGAATTGAACTTCTCTTGGTCTATTTCTACAGTGATTTGAGTGGACTATGCTTGTAAAATCCTCAAACATTTCTACCTAGGGCAGGAAGTCAGCAAAATTGAAGCTTTGTACATCATGCTGCTGCTGCATGCCATTGAGTCAGTTCTGACCTATAGCAACCCTGTAAGAAGGATTCCAAAGCTCTATATCTTTATGAAAGCAGAAAGTTTCATCTGTCTCCCATGGAATAACTAGTGGATTCAAACTGCTGACATTATCATTAGCAGCCCATCATGTAACCTACTATGCTACTAGGGCGCCTTTTGCATATTGTTGCTGTTGTTGTTAAGTGCCTTCCAATTGGTTCTGACTCATAGCAACCCTGTATAGTGTTTCCAAGGAGTGGCTGGTAAGTTTGAACCACCTACCTTGTGGTTCAAACTGACCTTGTGGTTCAGTGCTTTATCCCACAAAGACACACCAGGACTCCATGTTTTTGTTTGTACATCATGTTGTTAAATGCCTTCAAGCCAGTTCTTATCCATAGCGACTCTGTATAGGGTTTCCTGGGAGAGACTAGAGAGCTTGAACCACTGAACTTGTGGTTCAAACTGACCTTGAAGTCCAGCGTATTAACCCACAGTACCACACCAGGACTACATTTGAGGTAGTACCAACTCATAGCGACCCCTATGTACAACAGAACGAAATACTGCCCAGTCCTGGGCCAACCTCACAATTGTTGCCATGCTTGAGCCCAATGATGCTGCCACTTGGCCAATCCATCTCACTGGGGGTCTTCCTCTTTTTCTCTGACCCTCCACCGTACCAAACATGATATCCTTCTCCAGTGACTGGTCCTTCGTGACAATATGTCTGAAGTATGAGAGACAAAGTTTGGCCATCCTGGCCTCCAAGGAGCACTCTGGCTGCACTTCTTCTAAAACAGGTCTATTGATTCTTTTGGTAGTCCCATGGCAGTTTCAATAGTCTCTTCCAACACCATAACTCAAAAGCATCAATTCTTCTACGGTCTTTCTTATTCACTGTCCAGCTTTCGCATGCATAAGAGATTATTGAAAATACCATGGCTTGGGTCAGGCACACCTTAGTCCTCAAGCTGACATCTTTGCTCTTCAACACTTTAAAAAGGTCTTGTGCAGCAGACCTTGGTACATCATAAGACCCCAATAAATATGTGTTGACTGATGTTGTGCATGTACAGTTTTTATTTTAAACTGACTATCGTTAATCATCCTGTAAATAATTCACCATAATAGAAACTTTCTGCATATCTAAATTTCCATTACAGATATATAAACTTGTGGTTAGGACACAAGGGAGCTTAAAAAAGTTTATGGGGGAAAAGCCACTATCTTAATTGCATTTTTCCACAAACCTTTTGAAACTCCTTCCTGGCAATAGCGGAATCCTAGCTGCCTGCTATGGGGTCTCCCAGCCTGATGGGGCAGCAATATAGCATCCAGGAAAGTTCCGGCTCTGAAATAAGAGCCATTCTCAGTTCTCGTGCAGAGAAAGTCCAGTCTGGGAATCATGGAGCCAGACATGACTGGTTCTGCTGTGAAAACAGTAGGAAGATCACTTCACCTTGCAGAATCTTGAGTCTTTCACCCATAAAATTGGTGTGTGTACATGTGAAATTAGAATGAGAAAACAAATGAAAAAGTACTTTGAGAAATCAAAAGTTTTATGCTCCCATAGAGATTTACAGCCTCAGAAACCCTATACAAGGTTACTATGAGTCAGAACTGACTTGTTGGCAGTGGGTTTTTTTTGGAGTTACAAATGCAAAGGGGAATGGTCCAGTGAGAGACTTCTCACCTTTTCTACTTTACACCCACAATGCACCTTATATGCAGCCACCAACTGTCTGTCATCGGAACCTTGTGTGTTGCTGAGGTTTCAACAGAGCTTCCAGACTAACACAAATTAGGATGAAAGCCTGGTGACCTACTTCTGAAAACCAGCCAATGAAAAATGTGTGGATCACAATGGTCCCATCCCATGTAGCATGAGGTTGCCGTAAGTTAGGGTGGCTCGAGTGCAGCTAATAACATAAGAAAAAGCTGTCTTTCCCCGAGGTGATTGTGAGCAGCCAGTCTCAGCTCGACTGTAAGCTCTGTGAAGGTAAGTGCCAAGTTGCACATACTGTGAGCCTCGCGGCCTGAGGGCTCTTCAGAAATGTTTGCTGAATGAATGAATAAGCAAGTGAATGACATTAGTAGTGCTAACAGAACATACAGACATCTTGGTTTCTGGCTTGTTGAGAACTTCCCCTCCAACTGCAGTTAAATTTAAGGGTTTGTCAGGATCACTAAGAACCTCCCCTCTAGCTCCATGGTCTGTCCACACCCCAGCCTCACCCGTACCCTTGTTCCAACTTATCAGATGTTGCGGTTCAAACTGACCTCGCAGTCCAGCACATTAACCCTCAGCGCCACACCAGTAGGTGCTTAATAAATGCCTGGTGGATGAATGAAGTACACTACGAAAGCCAGCTTCCCTAACATCTATGCCAGTTACTCTTCTAGGCAGGGAAGGGAGGCAGGAGAGCAAAGAGAGTGGGATATCCACACCAGTGCTGAAAGGTGGGTTAATTAGGGTAGAAGAGAGGCCATAGGCTCCACAAAACCCACTGGATTTCATTTCCAACAATAGGCCTGGCATAGAGGTCCTGGGTAGTGGGATAGTTGCAGCCTAGATT